GAGAGAGTATGCACCTTTTATTGTGGGACAAAAAACCAAAATTCATGGAAAATGGTTATTAGATACAAAGCAATATGATATTTCTCAGACTAATTAGCTTATAGACTAAAATGAATGAAAGCATGTCGTCATGGTTCGTGGCTGCCATGAGTTTTTTTCAGGAATCCAATTATAACCAACCCATTCCTTTTTATTGGCAAAACTCTTTGATATTCCATATGGGAAAGATGCAACACATCCAGTCAAACATAATTCCGATGTCATAAACTTGTGGCCTTTTGGATCAACAGAACCAATAATATTAGCTTCCTTTGGAACACAAATCCAAACAAAAAATAACAAAAACAAATCTAAGTGCATTGAAATTGATTCTTCAATTGTTACAGTTTGTTTTCTAGAAGCTCTTTCATATTTCATCTTACAACATAAAGAGCATAATAACAAATACATGCAAGGCTCCCAGTCAAACATCAATTAGTGGGAAATCTCCGATTTGTTGACGTATAAATGTATTGCCTAGTTTTATTCCTCAGATCAGTATTTTGGTTGCAATGGCTAGAGCGTGCACTTCTACATGGTATCAGAGCAAAGAGGTCTTGAGTTCAAGACCCGGCTGGCGCGGCCACTTTCTGTCAACATTTAGGACTAATGGAGCGACACGTGAGGGGGAGTATTGACATATGAATGTATGGCCTAGTTTCTTACATCAGATCGGTGTTTTGGGTGCATTGGCTAGAGCATGAACTTCTACACGATTTGCCACTCAACCAAGACGCTAGTTGCGTTGAAGCGCATGGGGTAGGGGATTTAAGGGCCTTGGAGGAGTACTCGTATTCCACCGCAGTGTTGGTCTCGGTGTCGCATGGAGGAACGGTGGTTGTGGCGCTTGCGGCTTCTGACTCTAGATCGACGGAGCGGGTGCATAGTTTCGGTCGCAGTGCCGCCTATTGCGTCCAAGACGGCCTCCGGTGTGGTCACAACAAAGGTCTTGGTGGCGTGCCTATTGTGAAATCGTCTCGCCAAACTATCTCTTGCGGCCATGGTCCTAGATAATTCTACAACGCAGATCTCCTCCTCCATATAGACGTACGGTTCCAGATATTTTTCAAATAAGAGGAAACAACTATTTGCGGAATAAATGGAATGGGAGAAAAATTTGTGAGAATCTTTTAATTTTAATGACGTGATTGACTATATATCATTGAGCGTGGATCCCCTCCTCCGTGTAGACATATGCCTCTTGATTTCTTCCGGTTATTAGTAAATGCGCACGTGTAACGCACGTTAATATTTAGGTAATATATTAATTGCACGCGTATATTAGGTATGCTATTATTTGTGTGGCAATCCTATGATTAGTGTAATATTTGGTATGATATTAATTGCACGTTAAACGCATTTAACGCTCGTCATTGGAGCAGTCTAGGTCATTGGATTAACTTAGTTCGATGGCCGAGATCAGTTGGATCTGCCCCTTTGGGTCTTTTTATATTGGTATAGATAATAGGAAAAAAATCTATTAACTAAATAAATATTTTAAGGATCTTTTGTTGTTAATGACGTGATTGACTATAATTCTGAGCAGGGGAGAGAATTTTGTAAGGATCGTTTCTTCTTTTGGGAAAGTGGATATTTTCTTTTAATGACGTGATTGGCTTTCTTTTTGGCGTGGGAGGACAATTTTGTGACGAACTATTCCTTTAATGACGTTATTGACGATATTTCTGGTGTGGGAATTATCTATTCATGTCAACATTCCTTTATTGATATTATTTTTACTGGAATAATCCGAGCAAGACGGCCTTCGGTGTGGTTGCAGCAAAGGTCTCAGCGGTGAGCCTTTTGTGAAAATCGTCTAGCCAAACTGTCACTTGCGGCCATGGTCCTGGATAATTCTACAGCGCGGATCACCTCCTCTGTATAGACATACGGTTCCAGTTTTTTCCAAATAATAGGAAACAACTATTTGAGCAATAAATTGATTGGAGAAAATTTTGTGAGAGAATCTTTTTGTTTTAATGACGTGATTGACTATATATCTCTGACCGTGGATCCCCTCCTCCGTGTAGACATATGCCTCTTGGTTTCTTTCAGTTATAATAGGAAAAATCTATTCACGGAATAAATATTTGGAAAACGTTTGGAGCCGGGGCACCGGCGGAACTTTGGGCCGGTCTCCCTCTTCCCCGCGTCTCCTTCATCGCAGCTCCGCGCACATCTCGCGCAGCTCGCCGGGGCGCGCGCCGCCCTCTTCTTCTGCCCCCTCCTCC